CACTGCCTGCAGAGGAGGTACCCAGCCCCACAGCAGGTGGGTTCTGGGACACTGTGGATGATGCACCCGAGGAGCTGTGCAGCAGGAAACCTTTTAATGCCTTCACCGACCTGAAGAACGGCTCCCTTTATGCTTTTCGAGGTACCTCGGGGACCTTTCCCGGGTGCATGGCACAGATTACGGTGCTGTCACCCCATGCCAGTGACTGTGGTCCCTCTTGCCGCTCCCACCTCCCCTCTCTCCCCAGGGAAGTATTTCTACGAGCTGGACGAGACGAGTGTGCGGCCCGGCTACCCCAAGCTCATCAGCGACGTCTGGGGCATCGAGGGCCCCATCGATGCAGCCTTCACCCGCATCAACTGCCAGGGCAAGACGTACCTGTTCAAGGTGGGCAGGAGCCTGGCTGCGGGGTTGGGGGTGCTCCAGGGGTGGCCGGCACAGACTCCCCAACCCACCCTATCCCCACCCAGCAGACCCACGCCTGGGGTGGGGTCTTTGACCCCCCCCTCTGTCCCTCACCCCCCCAGGGCAGCCAGTACTGGCGCTTTGATGATGGAGCCCTGGATCCTGGGTACCCACGCAACATCTCCGAGGGCTTTGAAGGCATCCCAGACAACATCAACGCAGCCTTCGCCCTCCCTGCGCACAACTACCATGGCAATGAGAGAGTCTATTTCTTCAAGGGTAAGGGATGCAGCCCCCCAGCTCCCGGGCAGAGCCTGGCACCAGTGGCCATGGGCAGGACATCCCTCTAGCTCCTGCCCCCCTTAGAGTGCGTGGCTCCCGCTAATGCCCCGCACATCCTCTCCTAGACAAGTACTACTGGTCCTACGACTTCGCCCACCAGCCCACGCAGGCCGACTGTGAGAAGTCCTCCCCCTCCACCGTCTTCAACCACTACGCCTTCATGAACCGCGACAGCTGGGAGGACATCTTCCATGCCCTCTTTGGCGGCAGGATGAGTAAGAGCTGGGTCAAATCCCAGGGGAAAGGGCCAGTGGGTGCCGATATAACCCACACTGCTAGGGCATGAAGGGTGCAGGCACCCAGGGAGGAGGAAGCGATGCCTGGGAGCACAGACAGGTTGGATGAGCCACTGTGCTGGGCAGGAGCCCAGGCTATGCACAGGAGCCCAGGCTATGCACAGGAGCCCCCCAGGCCACAGCTGCATCTCCCACAGCATCCCAAATCCCACCCTCTGCAGCCCTTCTGCCTCCCACTACCGAGCCCATCACCAGTCATCTTACACCACAGCGTCGCTGCTGGGGACTGTTTATTCCCACTGGAGCTGGAGATGCCATAGGAAAAGCCCAGCCCAGGGCAAGAGAAAAGAAGGATGGAGAGGGGGAGAAGGGGCTTATCAGCAGCTCAGGGCTGATCCCAGCCAAGGGTGGGACAAGGAGCTGCTCCCATCCAGGCTGGGATCCTTTGGAGCATCCCTGTGGGTCTCAGAGCAGGTGCCAGGGGCTGTCTGTGGGGCTGGGCTCAGCTCCCCCTGTACGTTGCTGCCCCTCTCACTCGCTCCCTGTCCCCTTGGCAGCGGGGGCCAGCAGCCCGCGGTACATCAGCAGAGACTGGCGGGGGGTGCCCAGCCGGCTGGACGCCGCCATGGCCGGCAGGATCTACGTGGCCTCCCACCAGCCCCGCAGGAGGAAATCTCGCCGCCAGCGCAAGAGGTACAAGAACCACCGGTCGCTGAATTTGGGTTTCTGGAGCTGGCTGCATAACGACTCCGACTCCGCGGCTGTTGAAAGCGACTGGCTGTCGGGCTCCCAGTGCGAGACCCTCCAGAGCGTCTACTTCTTTGTAGGAGGTGAGTTTGGGACAGCAGGATCTGGGAGAGATGCGGAAATAGGGGCAGGGGGAGGTCTCCCCTTGCTCTGTGACATCCCTGAGCTGTGGGATGCGGTGGGACGTGCCCAGGGCTGGCAGCGGGGGCTGGCAGGTCCCGACGGGCAGCCCTGACAGCCATCTCCCCTTTTTCCCAGACAAGTACTACCGCGTCAACCTGCGCACCAAGCGCGTGGACCTGGTGCAGCCCCGCTACCCCCGCTCCATCGCCCAGTACTGGCTGAACTGCCCCCAGCCTGGGGAGGAGAGCACCTGAGGGGGCCCTGATGGAGCCCTCCAGTCACACAGCCCCTAGCTAGAGAGAAATAAACTGAGTGCTGTGCAGGCTGGAGAGCCCCGTCTGTCCGTCCATCCATCCGTCCCGTGGACTACGCAGTCCTTGCAGTCCAAGATCCCTGTGCCCCCAAGGGCTGTGGTTGTCCCTCCAGGTACAATA